ATATTAGAACCACTTTAAATAAAATTATCTTTAACAGGCAGATATGTTAGTCAGCAATTAGTCCTGGACCTCAATTTCCAGCCAAAAGTTGAAGTTTCAAATAGACTTCAAATTCTTTTCACAAAGAGATGTTGCTATCAGAGTGTAGGAATAGTTATAAACTGATTTTATATATATATATATAGCATCACGGTGGTGCAACTGGTAGAGCTGCTGTCTCTCAGCGAGCAGGTCCTTGGTTCAAACCCCGGTCCAGGGGCCTTTCTGGGTGGAGTTTGCATGTTCTCTCCGTGCATGCGTGGGTTTTCTCCGGGTGCTCCGGTTTCCTCCCACAGACCAAAAAAAAGCATGTTAGGCTGATTGGCAACTCTAAATTGTTCCTAGGTGTGAGTGAGAGAGTGAATGGTTGTTTGTCTTGTTTGTCTCTATGTGGCCCTGTGATGGACTTGCGACCCATCCAGGGTGTACCCCGCCCCTCGCACAGTGATTGCTGGACATGGGCACCAGCGACCCCCGTGACCTAACCTAAAATGGAATAAGCGGGTAAAGATAATGGATATATATATATATATATATATATATATATATATGTATATATAGTACTTGCATGCCAAAAAGGAGTCTTTGTTACCAAAAAAGATTAAAAACACACGTTACGTAATGTGTACTCCCTCAGAACAAGAATCTTACACAAACATAAAAGCACGTGGGTTAAAATTTAATGATTCAGAGTTACTTGCTGCCCCAGAGGCAAGGCTGCTTCAGTTATTGGTCCAACTTTTAAACTATGCATTACATCAACCCTCATAGTCTCATCTTTTAGGAAGATCATCTGTAAACATTTAGATTAACAAAAGTTCAAAATCAATTGAATAAAGTTTTAGGATAATTTAAATTGTTACTTGAGATATGCAAAATGCAATATATTTGATTGACTTCAGTTAAGTATATTTAACCGTTGACTTGAGACTAAAATAACTTTGGTGCAATTTAGTTCTTTTTCTTCTTTCGTCTTTTCCCTCTTCAGGGGTTGCAACAATGAGTCATCCTCCTCCATCTCACTCTGTCCTCTGCATCCTCTGTCCTCACTCCAACTACATCCATGTCCTCTCTAACTGCATGCATATATTTCCTCTTTGTCTTTTTCCTGGCAGCTGCATTTCTAACATCCTTCTACCAATATACCCACTGTCCCTCCTCTGGACATGTCCAATCCATCTCAGTCTGGCCTCTCTAACTTTATCTCCAGTAGTTCAACCTGTGCTGTACCTCTGCCTCTGATGATCTCATTCCTAATCTTATCCATCCTTAAGGAGAACCTCAACATCTTCATTTCTGCCACTTCCAGTTCTTTCTCCTGTTTTTTTTTTTTTTTTTTTTGCCAATGCCACTGTCTCCAGATCATACAATATAACTGGTCTCACCACTGTCTTGTAAATTTTTCCTTCACCTTTGCTGCAAATCTTTTGTCACAAATCACTCCTGAAACTTTTCTCCTTCCATTCCGTCTTCCATGGACTCTCTTTTTCAACTTGTTACCTCATTCCCCACTTCCCTAGACAATGGACCCCAAGTTCTTGAAGTCCTGCACCGTTGTGACCTCTGCTCCTTGTAACCTCACTGTTCCACCAGTCTCCCTCTCATTCACATGTATTCTGTCTTACTACGGCTAACTTTCATTCCTTTTCTTTCAAGTGCAAACATCCTCCTCCCCAAGTTCTCTTCCACCTGTTCCCTGTTCTCACCATGGATCATAATGTCATCTGCAAACATCATAATCCACGGGGATTCCTGCCTGACCACCAGAGCAAACAAGAAGGGGCTCAGAGCTGATCCTTGATACAATCCCACCTCCACCTTGAAGCTATCTGTCACTCCTACAGCACATCTCACCACTGTCCTGCTGTCCTCATACATGTCCTATACCAGTTTAACATACCCAGATTTTACCACCCTAGATTTCCTCATGCAATACCACACCTCCTCCCTCAACACCCTGTCATATGCTTTATCTAAATCTACAGACACCATGAAGTTCTTTCTGATCCTCTCCGTATTTCTCCATCAGCATCCTGAAAGTAAAGATGGCATCTGTGGTGCTCTTTCTCAGGATGAAACCATACTGCTGCTTACAGTAACCTCTAGTCTACCTCTAGCTTCCAAAACTCCTTTCCAGATCTTCATTGTGTGACTCATCAACTTAATTCCGCTGTAGATGCTACAATTCTCTCCAGGATCTCTGTGTGGCTCATCAGCTTAATTCCTCTGTAGTTGCTCCAACTCTGTACATCACCCTTGTTCTTAAAAATGGGCACCAGCACCTTTCTCCATTCCTCAGGCGTTTTCTCACCCTGAAATATGCCATTGAATATTTGAGTCAAAAACCTCACTGACATCTCTACTAATCATTTCCAAACCTCCACTGGGATGTCATCAGGTCCTACTGTCTTCTCCTTCTTCATCCTTTTCAGAGCTTTCCTAACTTCACCCTCACTTATCTTTCCCACTTCCTGGTCCACAGTTTCTCTTATTACTATTCTTCGTTCTCTTTCATTCTCTTCATTCATATGCTCCTCAAAGTACTCTTTCCATAACTCCATCACACTCTCCTCACTTTTTAGAACATTACCATTCCTATCGTTAACAATCCAAACCTGCTGCACATCCTTTCCAGCCTAATCCCTCTCCCACATTTCACTTCATTCATATCCACCCAAAATTTCTCTTTCTTTTCTATGTTGCATCCAAACTGTAGAGCATAACCACTAACAACACTTATCATCAGACCTTCTACTTTTATTTTTAAACACATCACCCTATCTGACACTTTTCACCTCAGCTACATTATTTGCCAAGTCCTCCTTCAGGACCACCCCTATTCCATTTCTCTTTCTATCCACACCATGGTAAAACAGTTTAAACCCTGCTCCAATGCTGCAAGCCTTGCTGCCCTTCCATTTGGTCTCTTGGACACATAAAACATCGACCTTCCTTCCTTCTCTGTTTCATGTCAGCCAGCCCTATCCTTTGCCTGGCATTGTCTCCACATTTAGAGTTACCAACCTCAGCATTACACTCTTGACTTTCTTCTTCTCACACTGTCTCCTGAAATGTTTCCCTCCTCGTGGTTTTTGACTAACAACAGCACGATTTCCACCGGCACCTTGTTTATCAACATCACCGGTGGTGGTCGTTTCCCGGGCCTCCACCGATCTGCTATGGTGTCACTTAGAAGAATTTACACAGTAGTTTGAGCAAAACTGTTTCATGTCAGATGTCCTTCCTGACACAAGCATCACCATTTACCTGAGCATGGGATCTGCAGAAGAGATACACTGGCTTGTGCTCCATAGTGGCTGGTTCAAAGCCTCAAATTTCGAAGGGATATATTCACATTTTTACAAAAAATGTTCTTACCTAATTTCTGTTGGATAAAGTTATCATAAAAATATAGTTTCAATTTAATTTTGCATGTACGTGCCTGTATAAAAAAAAGTAGTTGCAAACTGTCTGTCAACAATCACTTTTAAGGTTATTGACCTCACCTGATACAGCTGTATACCATTTTACAAAATAAAAAATTTAAAGCTTTTTGCAAGACTATTAGTTTTTGCTAATAACATCTTCCCCTCTCTTTCTTCCTGCCTTGTCTCTGCATTTTCCCCTCTTTGCTCCTCTCAGATCATCAGTAACATGGAGGCTCCAGTGACAAATGGCCCCAGCGGGGGAGGCACCACAGCTAATGGTCCAACCACCAACAGCCGCGGCTGCCCTTCGCCCATGCAGACTGGTCCAACGAACGACGACAGCAAGACAAACCTCATTGTGAACTACCTGCCCCAGAACATGACCCAGGAGGAGTTCCGCAGCCTGTTTGGTAGCATCGGTGAAATCGAGTCCTGCAAGCTTGTTCGTGATAAGATCACAGGTACAAACTGAAAGCTTTTACTTTGGAATTTGGCACACATAATGACATGAGCTGTGATTACAATTGTTTTAACGCATTCATAAGCATGGTTCACTGAAATAAAACCATTAAAAAGGTCAATTCAATATGGCATGTCATAAACTAAATGACACAAACTCTTCAGAAGTGCAGAAGCCAAACAGTTGAACACCATTCAAGCTAATTCAAGTAGTAGAAGAGAGTCACTGTACGTGACAGTATGTGTGTGTACGCAATGTCTTCAAAGAAAGATCCATCTTCGCCCTCAGTGTGTTCAAGCATGGCGACTCAGCAATGCAGCGAAGTGCCACATGTTCTCCAGAGGTGTTTAAATTAAGCAGCACTTTGCAGTGCTAATCACGGCTGTAATCTGGGCGTAGAGGCTGTGTGGGTGGCCATGCAGCAGATGGATTGGAGGTGGGGGGAGTTGCAGCTTTGTGATAATGCTCCATAATGGCTTTCATTTTAGATCCTACTTACTGACACTCAACACTTGATAATCTCATTAAAGAGCACCAGGCAGTGGAGATCAGCCATTATGGGATGGCAAGGTAAAGAGGGTAAACACAAGCATAGATACATAAAATGTGGCATATTCATTAAATTTGACTTTCTGTAAAGAAAGGACAGTTTGACTGAAAGATGGCCACACTCTTTAAGCTCACACTTACAAATATTTCTGCTGCTTCGTGATTCCTCTTTAAAACCATCTTCCTCTTGGGCTGTAATGGGTCACAAAATGGAGCTTGAGAGTTAGGTACACTAGGATAATGGTGGATGTGTTCAAAAATAACACTGCGATACCATGCTATCATCATCACTATCACCATGTTCCCCCTTCAGCTGATTTTTTCTTTAAGTGTGATTTGCCCATCAGCGGCGGTGAGGGACCGACAGCTGCTTGGAGCGAGTTTAAAATGAACAGCATTACTGTAAACCTGCTCAAACCAAAAATGGAGCATGAGAAAGGTAGAAATGTTTGCTCGCTCACTTCTAAACCATTTATGGTACTTCTCTGCTCTGTGCCACGAGAACTAACTGATGACTTTGCATCAACGCAAAAAAGTTATAAATAAATCCTGCCCTCCCTCCATCTTCCTGTGTATGCCCGTTTTGTTCTCCCACGGGTGCAATTTTCCCATGCAAACTTTTAGGCTAACAAAGCACAGATTCCCTCCAGCAGGGAATGCCAAGAGGTTTCATTCTCCAACAGTCATTCAAATCATTAACAGACTGTGCCAGGTTTCTGTAAGGGAGGGTGTAAAATTGAAAGCATTTTTTTTCAAGTTAAAGCATAGTACATCTGCTCGTCTTCATCCATCATGCATATCTACAATGAATGAAAGCAGGTCCGTTTCTGAGATCTAAAGGTTTTTATCAATATTTCTGTGTGAGCTAAGATTTAGGAAGATATTTTCATTGTTGAAATTTCAAAGTGAAAATGTTCTGTAGTTACATATTCATGCTGATGGGAATACAAAGGCTCTTTTTGCTTCACATTCAGCTTTTCTGAATCAAGAGTACAAAAGAGGTTGATTTAAGTTAAATAAATCCACAAAAATATTCATAAAGGCATTTGGAAAATCTGTCTGCCACAAAAAGAGTGGTTGCCTACTTCTGTATCAGCTTTAATAGGGCAGATGTGAACAAATCCCCTTCAAACTAAGAATATTTGGCATTTGTTTGCACCTCTGTATCCTGTTTGAATCCTGACTAACCTACTGACAAGGTGTTAGCACTTCAACCTCTCAAAGGAATGTGAGACAGGCAGGTCTTCGGCATCCTCTCCGCTTGCTGTGGACTTGCTCTTGTCAAATCCAATGATGCCAGGATGGCGTGAGGCTCAGGCGAGTGCTGGCAGGCGGAGACACTTCAGCTTTGTCTGTCATCCTGGCTGACTTCAGCTGGTAGAGGAGCCACCTCTGGGTGTCTTTCTTGTTCCCCATACGCCTGCCTGCTCGCCCACCTTCATGCCTGCTTGTGCAACCACTTCTGCCTGGTGCTCTCACAACATGCCGAGGACATGCAGGTTAATCTTTTATTTAAAGCTAGCTTACACAAATCTTTCTGAAACCCACACATACACATCTGCACACAAGCCATGGACCACCTTCCACCTGTTCCCTTCTTGTATGCCTGTGAAGACTTGAAGAAAACAGATCTTAAGTTGTTTTTTTTGTTTTTTGTTTTTTTTACTGATTTCAATTAAACATCTCTTAAAATGACAGTTTAAAATGTTAAGTTTTTATTAAAAACGTTGAGCTACAAGTATACCCTCTTAAAGAAATTTATGTGCATTGCTAATTTAAATGGTGGTTCTCAATTTTTTTTTTTTACTTTTTAGAAAAGAGCCTTTTTTGAAAGTTAGGGGAAAATATTGTGGGGGGAGAATCATCATTCCCAGAGAGGAATTGACTGATCCTTGTCAGTAAGTCATTTCACGGGATAATTCTTCTGCATCAGCTGCATTTCTGCTGAAGAAATGAAACCATTTGTTTTCATAATCATATGGAAGAGAAGTAAATAGCTTTTTTATGCTGCAACATGAATTGACTGCATTGGTGAGTGAATGTTTGGGGCTGTGAGGGGGGAACATAATTTTATGGGCGACCATTATTTGCATTTTTATATTGTGGTGAATATTACAGTGGCCAAAAGCTCAATAGCATTACAATGTCGATAGCCTTTTTTCTGCCTACTTGTTTTCCTCGGGTAATGGCATTTGTGAGGCTTCAGCATCAAAGTTGCCTCACCTTTTATGAATGTGAAATGCATTCAGTCGGCTTATGCATTTGAAATATTTTTTTTAATTTCTGCACCCACCCCTGTAAAAACATCATTCCAGAGCACACAGGATAAAGCCGTTTTTGTGCACACCACTTTAGTCACCTTCCATGTGCTGGTTTCATACATGTAATCTAGGGAACTGATGCAAATCATAGTGACAATGTAGCAAGCCAAGCAGATGTTGGTTATGAAAAATAGATGGAATGTGATGTCAGATGTTCAAACTGGTGCACCTCTGACAGACAGGAGCTCCAGAGCTTCATGAAAACCTGCTGCAGTTCCAGTTACTACATCAGGACAGGTACATCTTATTCAAATGTTAGTGTAAAATAAACCTTTTCTCTCAATTTTTGTGGTTTAGCTGAATCTGCATTCAAGTGACTTTTCGTTAGTTAAATGGTAAATGGGCTGTACTTGTATCTATATTATGAAGATACTCAAAGCACTTTACAATCTGTGCCCTCATTTATCCATTCATACAGCACTCTATTAGATCTATACAAAGATTAATCATTGCTTTATCACATTCATACACTGCTGGGACACACATCGGAGGCAGTAAGAGGTTCAGTGTCTTGCCCAGGGACACTTTGGCATGTGACTGCTGGTGGAATCGAACCCCCAACTCTCACATTGAAGAACGCCTGCTCTAATCACTTAGCCACATCCGCCCATAAGTTCCACTGATCAGTTTGTACTGGGGTGTTAATAGTTATTGCAAACAAAAATGTGTACTTTAAGTCAAATTATTTTGACAGAGGTGACACAAATTCCATCTTGCATATCCAATAGTGTGAAATCCATACAGAACATCTGGCCTTCCAAATAAATCTTGCTTTTCTTCAGTTTGCTGGTTTTTGTCCTTAGTTATGTTTTTAAGGAAAACTAAAAACCTAAGAAGAATAATTTAAAATAATTATCTTATCAGACTTCAAAATAAACCATATCTTTTTTTGGTGCGGAGTGCTGCTCACATGACTGAGAGCAATGCTGAATTTTGTTTCACTTCTGATTGCAAGTTAAGCTACTTAAACAACATTATTTCTATAACACCCACATACCATGTTTTTATGTAGTAACAGATGACTACGACCTGTTAAAGCCTTTTCTGAAAGCATGCTGCGTGAGATCTGGTGTGTTTAAATCCCACATCCAGGCTGCATTTATCTGAACCTGAAATAGTCTGAAGGCTGCGGAAAGTGTGAACAAAGCTGACATGGAAAGAGATGAAAAAGGGATTTGACATCTATAAAGTCAGGTATTAGGAGAGCTGACAGGCTTAGGGGTGCATACACTAGCAGGCAGGGACACATTAAAGTTTCAGAGTCCCAAGAATGTCCTGTGTCTCCTCTCCGTAGCCTCACTCCTTCAACTCCCTTCTTTTTACGTCTTTGGACCCAGAATGGGTCATCCTGGGCTTGCTTGGTTGCACTGTTCCTCTGGTGACCCTCTTGTCAGACACCCTCTGTCCTGTCTCATTTCACTCTGAGTGGCCTTTACGTAGAACAATGGGGTTGTGACTGTACCTGTGCTGGCCTCAGATCCACAGGCTGAGCTATCCTCTGCTGGCTCCTCCGCCTTCAACCTTTCACCCTGGGCAGGCAGAGATGCACCAGTCAAAAGGGTGGAAGGGTAAAGAAAGAAGGGCTGCTCTCTCAGACGAGGGCCAGGCAGCAGCTTAGGTTCCTCAATATGACATACCAGGGTTATCCATGTTTTAAAGGGGGTGGGGGAATCTCTGTCTATCACTGCTTTTCTTCAATTCCACAGCTACTCCACTTAACAAGCCCACACACTTCAGGCTGCAGTCCACTGGCCCCAAGGCTCAGGGTGCCACCATGAGGGGGTGGTTTACGTGTGTGTGTATGGGTGTGTGTGTGTGTGTGCGTGCGTGCGTGTGTGTGTGTGTGTGCGTGTTTGTGTGTGTTTGTCCCTGAGCTTCTACGTGGGCAAGAGTGTGTCTGTGTTGGTGGAAGCAGGGCCTTGGGAACTGAGAGTGGGAGCCTCCTGACTGCAACATTGGCTGCTACCTTGGCAACCCAGGAGGGAAGATGTGTTGAATGAGTGAGTGGGAGAGGGATCTACAGTCGATGTGTTCTTGCGGGGGATGTGACTGTTTATGAATTTACTTATTTAAATGCGCTCAATGCATGCCAAATGTTATGCTCTTACTGTACTCCTAGTGTATAAGGCAC